TATTCTACCTCCTTGTCCCTCTGTAATTCACCACCACCTGCTCCTGCCCTCCTGAGGTTTTTTCCAAGCCTTCCTTAAATACCACAAATTCTCTGGCAGTCACATCATTCTTGAGACAATGTCTTTTTATCTTTCTTTCATCCTTTCTAGGGAGGCAGAAAACCCAGTTCCACCCACCAGCCAAAGAAGTAATCATTAACTATCATTTGTGGGATCTTTACAACTTGATTTCCTTTTAACTCTCTCTTCTTCCCAGGACTTCTTCCAGCACAGGAAAAGCCAGGTTTTTCTCACCAGGCATTTGTTTTTTACCTGTCAGTAATCACTACCACTTGTTTCTCTAGAAATTAGAGCCCATTTTGTTAATTTCTCAAACACCCAGGTGCACATCATGGATATTTCAGCACACTTGCTTTTAATCAAGGTGTCTTGTATATAGGTTTGATCCTCTCCATTAAGCACTAAGGGTTTCAACCTCATTCTTTGAAGCCCACTGCTGTTGTGTCCTCACAGTTTACTCTCAAAATCAAAGCTATGTCAATTCACAATGACTTGGGGTCTTGTTTGGATTTTGATGGTTTCTTTTCAATGGTTCTGCTCTACATTTTCTGCCCTTATTAGCATAAAATGGCCTAGAAACCTGAACCATCTCAGGTAAAAGCAGTAGCAGTACTCCAGGATCCTGTGGTCAGGAATGGAAAGTGGTTTTTAATTTGTTTTTATGTTTGTTTGTTTTGCTGGTGGATGTCATCTTCAGTCTTCATTAAAATACCTTTAAAGATCAACTCCCCAAACCACTGCAGTAACATCATTAACAATTCAGATAGCTTAATAGTGATTCTTGTTATCCTTACAGAGAATAATGGGTTGTAGCTGGACTACAATGTACTGGGAGATGCCTGTGGTTAATTTACTGATACACTATTAATGACTCACTTCACCTACAGAGTATCCTCCCTCTTTGGCCTTTGTTGAGAACTCAATATCTGAAAAAGCCAGTAAGAACCAAATGTATACCATTGATTTTCCTTCAATGAATCATTCTTGAAAAAGTGAATTTCATATGGTTATTCTAGGTCTCCAAATAAGCATTTCACAACTTTTTTTTCAACCCATACTTTCTTGCTGATAAACTTAAATGTCTTATAACTACTCCCCAAAATTTATAATACAACTTCTGGGAGGGGGCTTTCCCCAACTATTTAGAGAGCTAATACTTTTGTATCTCCCCAGCAACCAAGAGGACACTGTCAAGCTCTGCTGTTTTGTAGTCTATGTTACCAAAAAAAAAAAAAGTGATGATTTTTAATATTTGCTTTACAGATATAAATATATATTTTGCTTTTTCAATCCACTATTTGTCCTCTCCTCCTGGAATTCAGATATATATTCCCCCACCTGCTCCAGGATCCAGCCAATGAGAATCATTCATTGCTCTGATCTTTGTGTTCCTACTGGATTAAATCAGTTTTTTTCTCTATTTTTGGTATGACTATTTTACAGGTTATTTAATAATTCTCCTATTGACATTATTTCCACCTTCTTATCATTGTAAACAAATGAATAAATATTCTTTTACATTTGTGCACAGGTCAAAGAGGATCAGTCTCTCATATAGAGTAGGGTCTTCTTCAGTCAAAGGTATATTAGTAGCTGTCCATCTCTGCTAGAATCATAGCCCCCCTTTTTTTTTCATTTTAATTCCAGTATAGTTAACATACAGTGTTATATTAGTTCAGGTGTACAATATAGTGATTCAACAATTCCATACATCACCCAGTGCTCATCACAACAAGTTCACTCCTTAATCCCCATCACCTATGTCACCCATGCCCCCACCCACCTCTCCTCTGGTAACCATCAGTTTTAGGACCACAGACTCAGGATAAGCTTGAGAACTCTGTTCTTGCACCACAGCAGTCAAGGGGAAAGCTTACCTTATACTCCACAATGCTGTCCTTTAGCAGTAACCATTCTTAAATCAAAACACAAAAAATGTAGTTCTCTAATAATAAATATAAAAGTATCCTAAGGCTATATTTTTCAAATTCAGGTCCAGACCCATTGGGAAGTCATGAAATCATTTGAGAGAGTCACTATCAAGATTGTTTTAATGAAATAGAGTAGAAAATATCAGGTAGTAAAAGAGGACTGGTTCACAAAACTTTGGGTTCAGTTCTAGATCTATGGACACATGTTTGTAACTATGTATATACAAGGTCACATCATAAACAGTATTTCTTACTATGAGTCACAGTCAAAAATTTTGAAAAACATACCATGAAAGTTTTCTGAGGAAAACCCTGTAGCCTTGGAAATAATTGATCATGAAGAAAGTCTGTTGTGAAGGGCTGTGTGTCAGTTTTACATTCTCCCTCTTGGTGTGGTATGTCTGTTCCTTTTGCTCTAGGTGGGGGACTTGCTTTCCCACCTCACCATAGAGCACAGCTGTGCTCTTGAGTAATGTGGACAGTGTCTGGAGACTATAGACTCAGCCTCTTCAAGAATCCTCTGGATCGTTTGGGTCGCCTGGGTGGTTCAGTCAGTTAAGTGTCTACCTTTGGCTCAGGTCTTGATCCCGGGATCCTGGGATGGAGCCATGCACTGTGGCTTCCTGCTCAGTGGGGAGTCTGCTTCTTTCTCTCCCTCTGCCTCTCTCCACCCTCCCGCTTGTGCTCACTTTTTCTCTCAAATAAATAAATAAAATCTTTTTAAAAAGAAAAAAGGAAAAGAATCATCTGGATCCATAGTCTCAGCAAAATCTCTAACACACACACTCTCCTCTCTACCCCTAGGCCCAACCCCACCAGGCTAGGTCACAAGAACTTTTTTTCCTTTTTTTTTAAATTTAAATTCAATTTAGTTAACATACAATGTATTAGTTTCAGGGGTAGAATTTAGTGATTCATCAGTTGCATATAACACCCAGTGCTCATTATATCAAGTGCCCTCCTTAATGCTCATCACCCAATTACCCCATCCCCCCCACCTCCCCTCAAGAAACCGCCAGTTTGTTTCCTATATTTAAGAGTCTCTTATGGTTTGCCTCCCTCTCTGTTTTCATCTTATTTTTCCTTCCCTTCCCCTGTGTTCATCTGTTTTGTTTCTTAAATTCCACTTATGAGGGGTGCCTGGGTGGCTCAGTCGTTAAGCGTCTGCTTTGGCTCGGGTCAGGATCCCGGGTCCTGGGATTGAGCCCCGCATCAGGCTCCCTGGTCAGCGGGAAGCCTGCTTCTCCCTCTCCCACTCCCCCTGCTTGTGTTCCTTCTCTCACTTTGTCTCTCTCTGTCAACTAAATAAATAAATAAAATATTTAAATAAAAAAAAGTTCCACATATGAGTGAAATCATGTCTTTCTCTGACTTATTTAGCTTAGCATAGTACCCTCTAGTTCTATCCACATCATTGCAAATGTCAAGATTTCATTCTTTTTGATGGCTGAGTAATATGCCATTGTATATATATTCTACATCTTATTTATCTTCTTTATCCATTCATCTGTTGATGGACATCTGGGCTCTTTCCATATTTTGGCTATTGTGGCCACTGCTGCTATAAATATTAGGATGCAGGAGTTGGCTGCTTAACTGACTGAGCCACCCAGGAACCCCCAAAAAAGGATTTTTTTTTAAGATTTTATTTATTTATTTGACAGAGAGAGACACAGCGAGAGAGGGAACACAAGCAGCGGGAGTGGGAGAGGGAGAAGCAGGCTCTCCACTGAGCAGGGAGCCCGATGCGGGGCTCGATCCCAGGACCCTGGGACTGTGACCTGAGCCAAAGGCAGACACTTCATGACTGAGCCACTCAGGCGCCCCCCAAAAAGGATTTTTTAATCACAATTTATGAATTGTCCACTGAGGGGTGCCTTGGTGGCTCAGTCGGTTAAGTCAGGCTCTTGATTTCAGCTCCTGTCTTTTATTTCCTATGATGAGTAGTTAGTACCTTATACATAGTACTGTTCAATAAGCCTTGATTATAATGGATTGAGAGCAAGGCTAAAATGAACTCTCCATTTCACTTTACTTAGAACACGCATTCGCCAGCTGAATTCCACTAAGACCCTTCAGGTTAGGAAATAGCAAACCAGTTTTGCAATATACGATGTCATGCCCTCACTCTCCAGTGTTGTACCCTGGTACTGCAGAGGAAGAGCAGGGATAATGTTACTTCTTAACCCGTAAAGGTTTTATTGAACAGCTCAGAAAATCAAAAGAAAAAATGTGGGAGTAACATTAGTGAAGCCTTAAAAGTCTGAGAAGCACTTCAGAACTTAAAAATGGGCAGGTTGTCTGTGAAAGACAAACAGACCCACAAAGAAGCATAGCCAATTAGAGGGGGCAAAGGAGTGTTTGTGACCTTGACCATGTGGCTAGGTTGGTAGTTTCTTATCTAATTCAGGAATCCCCTAAAAATAGGAGTGCATTCACTCTGACTGAAAAAGTGAGAATTTGATGCGGATTATCCTGGATGCACTGTGCACAGCACTTATTGGAGGAGATTTTCTTCAATCAGAAGTCTGAAATGTATTGCTGTAGTCTTGCTTTAAGCTTTGGATCATCTCATGTGGCAGAGGAGAGACTTAGGCTCTGAAGTCTCCAACTATCTTCAGGGGCCTGGGACCCCTGGACCTAATTAACTTTGGGACAGCAAGAAATAAAAGAGATACCATTTCACATTTGTAGAATACTTTCCAGTCTACTAAGCACTTAATAAGCACATTTTCTAATGTTATCCTCATGACAGCCCTGTGAAGTGCACTGAGCAAATAGCCCTTATTTTACAAATAGGAAAACCAAAATCGCAAGGCCAGTCAGAAATAGAACCAGGGTCTTCTGACTCTTTAACAGGAGCTTCTCCATCCCACCATGCCACTGAGTTCCAGAAGAGGGAAAAACTATCTAATAATACTTGCCACTTAGATGAATGGTTGAAATTGATTGGCTTGACATGGTCAGCCATTGGCTGAATCTGGGCCTCTGCTTTTTGTTCACAGAGCCATGGGGGTGTTGATGTCCAAGCGGCAGACAGTGGAGCAGGTGCAAAAGGTGAGCCTGGCTGTGTCTGCCTTCAAGGATGGGCTACGGGACAGGCCTTCTATCCGACGCCCTGGTGAGCTTCCAGGGTCCCGCCGTGGCACAGTAGAGGGCTCTGTCCAGGAGGTACAGGAGGAGAAAGGAGCAGAGGCAAGTACCCCAGTGCTCCAAGAAGAGAGCAGTGTCAATCGTGCAGCTTGGGAGAGGCTCCGAGATGGGCGTGGAGTGGAGCCGGAGGAGTTTGACAGGACTAATCGTTTCACACCCCCTGCCTTCATCCGCCCCACCCGGAAGCTGGATGATGACAAGCCTCCTGATATCTGCTTGGAGCCCAGAGAACTTGTGAGTACCCAGTTAGGGCACAGTCCTCAAGTCTTAGACCTTCTGAGGATCAGGGAGGCCTGGGTATAGTTAAAGTGAGACTCAAAAAGAAAAAACTCTAGAAAAGTACAGTTGAGTCCAGAACAATCTTTGAATTTCTTCTACAAGAATAAAAATGTTACATCCTAGATTGGTCTTAGTGAAAGACTAGAGACAGTGGGTGATAAGGAATGACACCATGGCAGGTCTTTTGCCATCCGTCTCACTAAGGGATAGTAGTAGTCCCTGTAGGAGGCATTTGGAAATTTGTGGGCATTCAAGAAGGTCATCACTGGAGTTGCTACTGATTTTTGGTGCCAAGAAAACCAGGGGTGCTAAGTGCCCTGCAATGTCTGGGACAGTCTTTCAGAACAGATTATTTTTTTCCAAAAATGTTAGTAGCATCCCTGTTCAGAAAAATGGTCACAGAGACATGAGCAGATGGAAGAGCTTGCTGGTTCTTGTCTTCCAGAGGGAAAGCTCTATCACCTTAACACAGGCTTCAGTTGGAATTGTTCCTCTGGGCTGCTCCAGGGATATTCAGCCCCATGTCGGTAACTCTGTGTTTCGTGGCCATAGGATCTTGCTGCCTACACTGGAAATGAATACACTATTTATTCTTTTTGCCAGGTTGTCAACGATGAGATGTGTGATGTCTGTGAAGTCTGGACAGCTGAGAGCCTCTTCCCATGCAGGATCTGCACCAGGGTTTTCCATGATGGCTGCCTGCGCCGCATGGGCTACATCCAAGGAGATAGTGCAGCGGAGGTGACCGAGACAGCCCACACAGAAACTGGCTGGAGCTGCCACTACTGTGTAAGCCTTGACTACAGGAACTATGGGCTGCAGCACCGCAGGGAACTTGGCACTTTTCTGGAGACCCAGTCTAAGAACACTGGTTTCTAGGCAGTGACCTAAAACAGTTTTCCAGTAGTAGATACTGGGATCCTCAAACTTGGTCAGGCTTTCTCTACCTCAGTACTATGACATTTTGGACACAGTAATTTTTTTTGTGGGGGATGTGTGCAATGTAGTATGTTCAGCAGCATCCCTGGCCTCTACCCCATTAGATGTCAGTAGCACCCACCCCCAGTTGTGACGACCAAAAATGTCTCCAGATATTACCCAGTTTGTCCTAGGGGAACAAAACTCACCCCAACTGAGAAACACTGAGCTAGAGGAATCAATGGTTAGGATGAGGCCTAATTACTCAATAGTAATTGTGCTTGGAATAGTGCTTTCTCTAATAGTCTTTAGTTGTCATTCATTGTACTCATCTGAAAAATCATCCTAACCAGCTTGCTTCCAACAGGGATAGGTTCTAACATAGTAACACTTCTTAGTCCTAAGATCATCACTTGGCCTACCACCTAACTCTTAGGATGAAGAACTTCATCTCTAAAGTGATCATTATGTAAATTAAATATCAAAGGTCTGTTGATTCAGAACTTTGCAAATTATATATAAATGCCTTCCAACTTTTTTTAAGATTTTATTTATTTATTTGACAGAGAGCACAAGCAGGGGGAGCAGAAGAGGGAGAGGAAAAAGCAGACTCCCCAGGGAGCTGGATGCGGGGCTCTGTCCTGACTGAGCCAAAGGCAGACAGACACCTAACCCACTGAGCCACCCAGGCACCCTGCTTTCCAACTTTTAAAAAGACAAAAGCCAGATTCTTATCCATTTCTCAGTACATCTGAATAGAATGTAAATCTTGCTTTATTCGAGGTGCCCGGTGGCTCAGTCGTTAAGTGTCTGCCTTCGGCTCAGGTCATGAGGTCCTGGGATAGAGCCCCACATCGGGCTCCCTGCTCTGCGGGAAGCCTGCTTCTCCCTCTCCCACTCCCTCTGCTTGTGTTCCCTCTCTCGCTGTGTCTCTCTCTGTCAAATAAATAAAATCTTTAAAAAAAAAAAGTCTTGCTTTATTGGTCTGTTATCCTGCAGATATCTTCTAAGGAACATCTCAGCAGACTCCCCCCTCTTCTTCCTACTGCCTGGAAGAAAGCAAAGATGTGCCACTTTCTAACAAATACCACTTTATCTATGGCTTGTCTATAAAATCAAATATAGAACAGTTATTCCCAGCCACTTACACACCTTTTCCCCAGCTGAAGTATGTCACAGTAGACCCTGCTCTACACACCATCTTCTCTAGTCACCACCCCTCCAAACACCAGCCTTTTCACTCACAGCAACTCTGCCCTGCAGTGTGCTGCTGATGTGTGGGCCCCAGCTGAAGGTATCTCCTTCCTAACCCTTCCTGGCTTTCTGTCACAGTCCTACCATCATTACTACCACATGCCAGACTTTTTACAAAGGTTTCTTCCAAGCTCCTCCCCTTTCTTCCCTTCCCAGCCAGGCTTTTTGAAAAGATTCCATCATCTCCTAGTGGCTCCTCAGCCACCTGTAATTCAGCTTCTGCATCTGTCATTCTGCTGGATGGGTTCTTTCTAAAGTCACCAATGACCTGACTGTCAAGTCTATGACCTTTTCTCAGGCATCTTCTTATTTGGCCCCTGTGAGGTATTTAGCACTCCCTTATTGCCTCCTCTTTTTGGGGGGATTTAAGTAGTTATGAGAATTATTATGTAAAATAAGGAAATTAGAGAAAATAGAAAATCAGTAAAGTCCCATCATAGTTGTATCACCACTGTTAACATTACCTTCTACGTTTTGTAACTCTCTTTTCTCGGCTTCCAGTACTCCCTACTGATTCTCCTCCTACCTTCTTCTCTGACCATTCTGAGTGCCCTTAGTTAATTTCTTCTCACAGTCCTAAATGCTGATCTTCCTTGGGGTTCTGTTGTTAACACTCTTCTTTTCTGATACACACTCTCTCCCTGGGTTATTTCATGTACTTCAGTGGCTATAGCGACCATCTAAACACAAATGATTCCCAAACCTGTGTGTCCAGACCTAAATTTCTTGTCTCTTGGATTTACATCCATCTTGATGCCTCATGGGTACTTCACATCACCATGACCCAAAATGAACTCTTTTCCCTGAAACCTGTTCTCTCTAAATTTCTTACCTCTGTGAACAGTAATACCACCCCTCCAGTTACCAATACCAACTCATTCCTCTCCTTCATCCCTCACATCCAGTAAGTCAGCAGGTCCTACTGATCTACCTGTTAATACCTCTCAAATCTCTTCTCTTTTCCATTCTCACGTCTTAGGTTAGCCATTCATCTTTTCTTACCCACACTATAGCAACAGCTAACTAACTGTTCTCCATGTTTCTAGACTTTGCCTCTCTGATTCATTTTCCACACAGCAAAGATCTGACTGTGGCACTACATATGCCCTTAAAAACCATTCAGTCAGCCACCTCGGTGGCTCAATCGGTTAAGCGTCCAGCTCTTGACCTCAGCTCAGGTCATGATCTCGGGTCATGAGTTCAAGCCGCACATTGGGCTCCACACTGGGTGTGGACCCTACTTAAACATTTGGTGACTCCCCTTTGCCCTCAGAATAAAAGCCCATTTGAAGGGCTCACTAATGGGCATTTGAGGCACTTCACAGTCAGGCTTCTGCCTACCTCTCCCTTATCTTTTGTCATTCCTCTCTACTCTCCCTCCACACACATACACACACACCCTACACTCCAGCCCCACTGAACATTTCACAGTGTTACACCCCACTGTGCCCAGGATATACCAAGTGCTCAATAAGTGTTATTGAAAGAATTGAGTTCTTTATGAAATCTATAAATGAATACTCATGAAATGTCTGTTCCTCTTCTTTGCTGGTATTTTAAGAGAGGAAAATAACCTACTAGAAAGAATCTTTGACAGCTTAAAGACTATAAGACTGTAAATTAGTATTAATAAAATAACATATTACTGCTGTTTTGGAATTAAAATTTCTGTGGCACCACAAAAAACTCATTTGGTTTTAGGAACTTCATCATGATGGCATCTCTTTCAAAACCATTCTGGATTATTTAAAATAATACAGCCTACTAGGAGCAGAGTTAGAATTAAACTTATTTTTTAACTGAAATACTCTTTGAGCACAATCTAACATAGAAGCCAAATACATAAAATGAATAAAGATGGAGCTGCTGTGGTTGACGGAGCTGGGGATTCACAACCATGCCCACTCATTAGTCCCCTTTTCCCTTGCAGCAGCTTCCCAAGGCACTTCCAAGGATTCCTTAGGGTATCTCAGAGAATAATTTTTTTTTAAGATTTTATTTATTTATTTGACAGAGAGAGAGATAGCGAGAGCAGGAACACAAGCAGGGGGAGTGGGAGAGGGAGAAGCAGGCTTCCCACGGAGCAGGGAGCCTGATGTGGGGCTTCATCCCAGGACCCTGGGATCATGACCTGAGCCGCAGGCAGCCGCTTAATTACTGAGCCACCCAGGTGCCCCTCAGAGAATAATTTTAAAACTACTGTTTAGTAAAAAGGTCTCGGGTCTAGAATCAGGATACCTGGCTTCTGGAGAAGATTCTGCTCCAGAGTTGAGTAACTCTGAGCAAATCCTTTCCCCTTTCTGGGGCTTCAGTCTCTTTGATTATGATTAGAGGCTGGGATTAGATGATCCCAGAATTGCCTTCAAGTTGAAATACAATTTCCATGCTTCTTGATCTTGGCCTTTCTCTCTTACTGGTCTATATGGCCACTGACTCAGATCTTTCTTTTTTTTAAAGATTTTATTTATTTATTTGACAGAGAGAGACACAGCGAGAGAGGGAATACAAGCAGTGGGAGTGGGAGAGGGAGAAGCAGGCTTCCCGCAGAGTAGGGAGCCCGATGTGGGGCTTGATCCCAGGACCTGGGATCATGACCTGAGCCGAAGGCAGAAGTCCAACGACTGAGCCACCCAGGCGCCCCTCAGATCTTTCTTTTTTTTTTTTTTTTTTCAGGATAATCTCAACTTGCTGCTAACTGAGGAGGAAATGTACAGCCTCACAGAGACCTTTCAGCAGTGTAAAGTCATTCCTGGTAAGGCTGGACAGTGCTGCCAGATGGAGAGCGGCTGGCACATTTTTCCTCCATACTTTTTAGGACAAACCATAAAAGGAGTATGCTGGAATTTGGAGAGTAGGGGTAAATAGGTCCCTGTTCCCAAGCTGTTGGCCACCAGGGGCACCCACACACCCGCCCATCTTCCCCACCCACCACAGCCTGAGTTATCCTGGCTATGGGAGACAAAGACTCCACGAAAGCTATGGATGTAGGGGTTCTGGAGGGTATTCTAAAAGTAAATGGAGGTGCCCCAGAGGCTGAGGAAAGGGTGGGCTTGGCTAGTATGGGGTGCCTCCCACAGATTGCTCCCTGACACTGGAGGACTTCCTGCGCTACCGCCACCAAGCAGCAAAGCGGGGGGACAGTGACAGGGCTCTAAGCGAGGAGCAAGAGGAGCAGGCAGCCCGCCAGTTTGCAGCCCTGGACCCTGAACATCGAGGACACATAGAGTGGCCTGACTTCTTGTCCCATGAGTCCCTCCTACTTCTGCAGCAATTGCGTCCCCAGGTGAGGGCCAGCCGGGGTGAATGTCTATGGGCTACTGGGTGGCAGAGACCTAGGAAGCATGCTGGGCAGGTTGGAGGAGCACTAAGTACTGTCTTAGCAGGGACCATAGAAGGAAAGGGCTCACATTCCACCCAGTGACAGGTGATCCAGTGCCTAAGCTGGGCAAACTGCCCAAGGAAGATTGATTTGCACTGGACCCAACTGCAAATGTCAATGCTACCAGAAAGGCTCTGGGCAGCTTCAAAGGGAGGCTGCAGAGATGGTACTGGAGGTAGGATTCTCTATGGCTTGACATTTTACAAAATATTTTCACCTCCAAGATCTTAACTTGTCTCTTCCCCAGAACTCTCTGTTAAGGCTTCTGACAGTGAAGGAGCGGGAGCGAGCCCGGGCCACCTTCCTAGCCCGGGGCAGCGGGAGCACTATCAGTGAGGCAGAGTGCCGTGGAGCCCAGCACTCTTGGTTCTGCAAACACCTTGCAGAGGCTCCTTCCTGCAGTGTCAGGTCTGTTCTCTACCAATCCCTGCCCCCACTCACATGCCCTCCTCCTTTTTCCATGCCAAATGGCCCTTGGTATGAAAGGTACCTCTCGGTTTCTTCTGTCAACAGACAGGAGAGGAGCTTCCTGTGCATTAGACAAAGGACACTGCCTCTTATTGTTCAAGGCATGGGGCATCCTCTACTCCAAACTGTCAGCCATGTCAGAAAAGTGTGGACGTGCATATCTGAGCCATGGGTTCCCCAGAGTTTGGGAGGGGCCGGACCTTTCATTTTCCCACTCCTAACCACATATCCTTGTGTCCAACAGCATCAGCCATGTGGGTCCCATAGCAGACAGCAGCCCAGCCAGCAGCAGCAGCAAGAGTCAAGACAAGGCTCTGCTGCCCACAGAGCAGGAGTCCAGGTGAGTAGGATCCCCTCACTGGGCTGTCTGCACTCCTGACTCTTCAACACACACAAGTGGGCATTGCCCACTGCTACCCCAAAACAGCAAGTGCATATCCCAGAAACCAGGCTCCAAAAATGTCCATTTGACCCAAGATCTATAGGGTCAGCCGGCTGGACTGTCCCACGTGGAAGCACAGCCAGCCATACCTATGTCAGCCAAAAGCCAGGGCTTACCTGAGCTTTGCCCGGCTTAAGCCGTACTGCCACTGGGATCAGTTCTCATGAGCATCCAGGCTCTACAGCCAACCTCACAAACCTGTTCTTTGCTCCCACTCCAGATTTGTGGACTGGCCTACCTTTCTGCGGGAGAATGTTGTCTACATCTTGGCTGCTCGCCCCAACAGTGCAGCAATTCATCTGAAACCCCCAGGATAGCATGGAGCAGAGAAGCTCAGTTCAGAGACAGTGGTCTCCCTCCTCTCCTTTTTCTCTTTCCCTCTTTCCCCACCATCCTCTGGTACTGAGACTTGTGGGGATGGAGTACTGCCAGCATCTCAATTTGACACTAAGCTTTATGGAACTGAAATCACTGCGCCCCTCACAACAGAGGCAATATATGCATTGCTGCAGGGAAAAGCCCTGGGAGCTGTGGCAGTATCCACTCTTGGACCCATCCCCCCAGCCCTCACATCCTAGACTAGACCTGCCACTGCACACATATGTGTGCACACACACACACATACACACATGCCTAGCTGTCCATGCCCACAGAGACCTGGTTCTTCTTGGTTGAAAAAGGACCAAAGTTCCTTTGTGAAGCTCCTGGTGTAGATGAGAGGGGTCTCTATTCACTCCTTCTATTGGCCAGTTCTGACTTCCAATAGACAAGTCCCTGGCCAAGTGATTCTTAATAATAGGGCATCAGACTCACATGCTGTCCTAGAGATGCTGATAGGCTCCCTCTTCCTCAGTTGCAAATCCCTTCTGTGGTGAGCCACTGTTCTGGTAGGTATGTGCTATGTCCCTCAGGTATGTTGGGGTGGGAAAGTTACTGAAAACCACCACTGCACTTCAGCCTCTGTTTATTTAAATTCTAATTTCTAGTGACAGAGAAGGCAACTAGTCTATGGAGTGAGTCTTAATTAGAAGAAGGGAAGGCAGCCCCTCCCAGGAACCCAGGATTCTAGGAACATCTCATCCAGGTCTTTCAAGTCCAAAAGTCTTTAGGAGAACAGTCAAAAACCAAGATGAGCCATCCTGGCCCCTGTTTTACAGATGGGAACACATGGCCCAGAGCCCAAAGGGCCTGAATGGAATAAGTATGATCCCAGGAGTCACAGCCCTCTGTATTAGATGCTTTACCCAAGTCAACTACCACAGAGACCTGAAGCCTGATCTCCAATGAGGAAAGGTTTGGATGGAAAATGAGAGAAGTCTCATGATTTTCCATCTTTCCACCTCAGCCCAAACGTAGACCTAGAAGAGCGTGCCATTGTATGGAGAACAAGAGCCAGCCTCTTTCACAGCCCAAGAAAGAGCAGCAAGGACTCCTTTCAACCACCCTGACAAGCTGGAGCCAAGAAGAGGATTTGCATCTCAGCTCTCTTTCTTTCTCTCTCTCTCTCTCTCTTTCTTTCTTTTTTTTTTTGCATCTCACCTCTTCAGCAGAGAAAGCCCCAGCAAAGCTTCACAGAAGGTTCATCCTTCTCCCCCTCACTGAGATATGGCCTGAGTTGCTGCTTCTCCCTGCTGCTCACTACATGTCTTTCCCCACCAAGCCTGGTCTCTAAGTCCCAGCTGTCCTCCCTAAGTTCTCGTTAAGTTCTCAAGTCACTGCGTGTTGTGGGTCAGCCCTGGCCCTGGAATCTAGGTTCTGTTTCCAATCTGAATACTAGAGAGGGGGGTTGGTTCAGTCATGTTAAAGCTAATATAGCTCCATTGCTCAAGGCACTTGTACTGAATTGGGTGCTAACAGAAGAAGTAGCATACAGCTCAGTGTTGAGATGCTCAGAGGAAAGTGGGGAGCTGCAACCAGGGTTGTGGTAACAACACCTTTTGTAGAAACTGCCTGACCTAGAACAGGTTGTGAAGTTTCGGGGGTTGGATTTTTCAGGTCTAAAATGAAGCAGACAGAAGATGAATCTGGCTGGGTTCACGTGTATGGCCCTGAACATTTCAAAACAAAAACAGCTTTTTGTAAATACTGCTTAGCCATATTCCCAAGACTGATCAGTAAGAGGGGCTGTTGTTCAGTTTAGCAAACTGAACACAAAAGTGAAAGCACATGACTCTTGGGTCCAAGGACTGCCTCTGAAGCAGCCAGACCTGGGGTTTTACACGGAAAAAGATTAAAGCACATTCAGCACAGGGGTTCTTGCTTACTCTCCTGGTAAATCACCTTGTATGCCAATGGCCTCGGGCTGCTGGATCTCACAGATAGGGCATTTTGAGTAGAGACAAGCTCTGGGCTTTGTCTGAACAGCTTTTTTCTCCTGCCTTGTCATCAGTAATAGGGACTGGAAATCTGTCTTGTTCCCTGATCCTTCACAGACAAGGTGATGCCTACCTCTCTGGAGCTGCAGCTTCTAGCTTTCTGTGGATGAGTGGTAAAAGACCATGGGCCAGATGCATCTCAGGGCCTGGCAAAGCAGTATTTCTTTCATGGTAGGATCAGGCCCATTTGGGACTATTCCTCTTCCTATTCCAAGACAGCAAGTTTCCTTGGTAAGGGCATGCTACAGAGGGCCCAGAGGACCCCAGTGTAGAGTTCCCAGTCCACAAGAATCCTAAGATGCAGAAAAGCTTGGAGGAGCAACTGGCCTCTTCTCCATTAGGCATCTAGTTTTTTACCAATGAAAAGATTCCCTTGCTCCCCCAGACCAGAGTTGTAAAAGCCCCACCCCAGCCCCCGTCTGGGATCTCCCTCTGCAGTGTTCTAATCCATGGAGCCCCTCTGCAGTACATATGAAAATGTTCAAACTTTTATAAACCAAGTGAAGCCCATTCCCTTTACTTTTCATCAAGCCTTTCCATCACTGTGACTATCTGAAATTCTGCCAAGTACAAAAAGCAGTGTCTGACTCTAAGGGTTTGAGAAAATGTTCTAGTCATTTCTTCTTGGCTACCCAGAATTGAAATCAATCTTATTATAAACACCACCCACTCCACCCACTATCAACAGAGATTAGGGTTTCTCCTCCGAAGACTCCTTGCCCTAAGCCTATTTTTCACCCAACACCCCTCTTCCCTATGCTCAGATTTAAAGACAGGGGCATCTGGATGTCATCCAGACACAGCAGAGCTGCAGGGACAGAAAGTAAGCTGAGGCAGTTAGCTGTGGCTACATAACCTCTCCAGGGCTGCTCTGTGGCTTCCTCTCCTGAGACCAGCCTTCCTCAACAGAGGTAGGCTCTGCTTTTGAGCAGTGGCCCCTTTGGATCCCAGAGATGGAGCAGTTCCCTTGCTCCCAGGTACTGACCCACTCTCAAGTGCTTTTCTTCCTTTGAGAACAGCCAAAGCCATGAGCACATTGCCTCTTCCCACCTTCAGCCTAAGTGACTGGGGCTAAAGGGCAGACATGCCTTTTTAGCCCTGGTGCTCCCTATGGGATGTCACCCTGGCCTTATTTGAGTGGCCAGATCTGGGAGTTCCCCTATTCCTATCACTAACATTGGAGGTACAGAATCAAACTGCCTGGGAAGAGGGCAGCTCTCTGGAGTGTGAGCCCAGGATTGTGCCTATGCCTCTTGGTCTGAAGCACAACCTCAACCATTGCAGGTCTCATGGCTTCAGTAAGAGTGGTGCAAGGAAGCCCTAAGAAGGAAGCTCAGCAGAAGCTGTATGGCAGGGCCTCAGGCTAGCCATGACCACCCCAGAGCCAAGAATAACCTCCAGGCAGGACTGGTAGCAGGCTCTAGTGATCCTATTAGCATGACCCCTTCAAACTAGCAGAGTAAAGGCAGGTATATACTTGGCACTAAAAGAACAACTGGATGTCAGAACAATATCCTGGTAGCACCAGTACCATAACCCCTTTTCACTCCTCAATTTACAGTGGAATAAAATTGCTACTTTCCCAGTGCCACTTAGTTTGAATTTGCCCAGATCTCTTTCCAGGCCCCTGGCTGCAGCTCAGACAACAGAGAACTGGATGGAGAATGGAAAATATTAATGCATCATACCTGTTCCCTATAGCTCAGTCCTGGAGTGTGGTAGGACTGGGTATTTCCCCTGCTGTTACTTTCCTGCTGCCACTGCTTTTGGCAACCTTGAAAGAAAAGAAACAGGTAACAGAATTTCCACTAGACCCAACTAGCATTAAGGAAAACCTTCCCTCTGAGCCACATGACCTGATGACCCAGATTGTGGACAGCGTGTCACATCTGGTCTGGGCTAGTGACTAAGAAGTCCAATCACATTCCAATTTATATAGCATGGGTTGGCATAACCATAGATGAGAATGTCAAGGTATAAGCAGCAAGGCCTTTCCATATCCATGTGAAATAAGAGCCTTCAAACGTATGCTCCTTTAAGAGATGACTGATGATCTGTCTCCCAGCCAAACATAAGCTTGTGAGGGCAGTTCTGAGAACACTCAAGTAAGTGGAAGGTCCAATGCCCTCTGGTCCCTCATGCCCTTCCTATGTTCTTTTCTGCGGAAGGTAACTTGACAGTAAGCTGAGGGGAACATCCCCAAGCCCTGTCTTCGCACCAGTACAGCTGCATGCTCCTCTCCATGGCTCAGCCTTCACTCTTGAAGGAGCTGATGCTCCCAGAGGCTGGGCACAGTGGAAATCATAATAAAGAGATTGCGATGCTACTTTGGCTTCCTTCTTCCTGTTATTTGGGGCACCTGCTGAGTTTCTGTGTGGTTTCCTATCATTAGCCAATTCCTGAATCTAAGGAGCTGCTTGGCCTCCAGGAAGAATGCAATACACTGGCTGTTTCTAGAGCTTTCCTGGTGCTGACCTTCCCAAGAATCAAGTGATGGGTGGGAGGAGGCAGGGGTTCCACCATGGACACAGAGGGGGAAATGAAAGCACTGAAGAGAGAAGCCAGAATTTTCTAAGAAACTGAGGAAGAGGTAAGGCCTGCAAGCTATCTGCGATGTATTCCACCACCACCACAACCAAGGGCCAGTTTTAACACATTTCTCCTCCCAATCCCTGCTGGGTGACAAAGTAGGGAAGCTAGCTGGCTATGTTTTCTCCTGGTCTTCTGGGTCTTTCTTGGTAGAGAATTTCCTCCCCATTTTTGCAATGTTTTAATGTGATATGATAGAGTTGGGTAAACTAAGGTCAAGAGAAGCTTTTCAGAGGACTCTGAAATCCCCCTTTCATTACCTTTACCTGATAAGAACAGAGCCAGTACCTATAGGTAGGAAAGTATCTCTAGAGTGTGGATCAGTGGTGTATAGACTTACCTCTAAACCATAG